TCACGTCAGGGTCACCAATTTGTGGCGGATTGCTACTTTATTAAAGCCTGATCGACTCAGAAATCTCTGTTGCAGATTCTCCAACATCTAGCTAGACGCCCAGAGCCAGCTAAGCTATAGCCCAGCTATAAAGGAAACAGACGTGTAGCACGGAGCACGTTTATTCAGTACGAGTATTGCGGATAAAGTGTACACGCTGGGAGCTTAATCATGATCAGGATGGCGGATTAGGTTAAACAAACAGAGGTTAATGATTGGTCACTGTTTGTACGATCGCACCTCACAATCATGCCGTGCAGGCATGCGATGACGTGACCCACAGATCACAAAGTGTTTGATTCAAAGAGTTTTCTGAATCGTTTGGAAGGATAAGTATGATAGTTTAATGAGAAATTTAAATTCATCATTTTTGATTGGGATTTCAAATGTAGAGACTCATGATCTACACAAGCGATGGCATAGTAAATTGGAAACCATATTTTAATTGAAAGCATTAAATACAATTTCATATCTTCTTGATAGTATCAGGGATTTTTTTATCTATTGGGAAAAACTGGTACAAATTGCTCAACAAGTCTCATAGTACTGATTAGGTCTCTTCATTAAAGCTTCGCCCTATAGAAGTACTTATAATAAATATAAACAGCGGATATGAGGAACCTTTCGTAACTGTGTTTCTCATGTAATAAAAGTGACCAAATAAACAACGAAATTCAGTAGTCCTTACTAGGCACCAAAATTTAGCTGTAATTGACTTTTAAAATGAATCTGGTTTGTTTCGTTATATTATATTTACTCACATTAGTACCATCCTATCATCTGAGGTAGTCATGCTAGTAACCATATCGGTTATAGAGTAGAAAATCAGAGTTTCTTACACCAGCTACAGAAAAATGTATTAGCTTAATCTAAATATAAAGATTAAAGATTTTCAGTTTCTAAATATATGGAGAGAGCGCTTGCTTCATGGGACGATATAAAGAACTTCGTTTAGTAAATTTGCAGGAATTGAATTTATAAATCAAAGGAATTTGTTAGCGTTTCATCAGTCAGATTAGTTTAACCCATGTTTTTGTACCTGCGCTAATATTTTAGTCGATATTCACTTTTATGATAACTAACGAAATTCGATTACAAACTGAAATCGAGTTAGATGAAAAAAAATAAGTGGAATTTTACCTTTATTAAATATTATATCTATTTATAACAGTAAATAACTGTAATTATGTAGTAAGTTTAGCGTCATTAATTAATAAGAACCTTGTTCGAAAGATTTGCACGTTCGTACAAGCTTTGTATATAGGATAGGCAATTATCAGAGTCGATGAGAACATTGTGTATATTATTATTCATTTGTTGTGCTTTTGCACTTTATGAAGATCAAATAGGCAAATTTGACTGGTATGATTGCATTAAACTGTAATTTCTTAATTAATAACAGGCGACGCCAGTATATAGGAAATGTCGTCCATCATATATGCCAGCCATATCCACATATTTACGTAACCTCCGATTCCCACGTACTTGGAGCAATAGCCAGCCAGAATGGATCGTTAATTTGGCGTCATGCATTAGAAGAGAATGCCAGGTTTATGTCGACTGCACTGTGCAGTAAATGTAAGCTCTAATATTTTTTTCTTACACGTATTAGATCTCTTCACTCTTTCCACAAGATCTAATCCACTTTTACGTGCATGGAATCCGAAATCAGGCCAATTACATGCAGAGATTCACATTAAAAGTGACTCAAGTGAAGGGTAGCGTTTTCATTCATCATTGCTTATATTTTATAGGAATTTGGTTTGTGATATGGAGAAGAATGCCGTCTTTGTTGTATTAACTGATAAAATAGTAAAAGTTGATACAAACCGTCTCATTAAATCTGATGAGAAATCATTTCCTGGTCAACATTCGAAGTTAATTGCTTCCAAGACTCAGGATGGTATTCTGAATATACTTTTATCGTCTTCCCTCCCAACTAACTCATTGAGTTTAATCAAATACAACACTGAAAGTAGTGCTGAAGGTGAAAACGATTTGTCAGCAATCTCCTTTCATACTCCCTCAAATGTGCAATTTAATAAGTATGCTTTCCTTTTATGGAGTTTCCGTTATCTTCAACTTTTAGGTGTATCTTTACCAAATCAGTTCTTATTTGCACAGGAGTAGACTCACCTAAGCTTTTTTCAGTTGACATGAAGGGATCTTCTGTATTCAGCTCTATCGATCTTCAATCAGTAATTCAGAATTGTTAATCTTTACGATGTGTTCTCTTTAGCATCCATTGGATATTTCCGAACCCGTGGACGGGAAAATTTTTGTGAAATATCCATTAGAAATTGTTCAAGTTTTTACGGTTGATATGGCTACTAATACAGTACGATCGGAATACAGTCTTGAAGGCGTATGTTAAATTATTTTATTCAATTTCTGCTCAGGTTTCAGCGTTTGCAGTCAATGGCGATAGACTTATCTGTGTTGAACAACTTTTTGATAAGGTTAATTACTTTCGTATTTGAATAGACTATTGTATTATCTTTTGCTTATTTTTTATTCTGTTATTTATTTGTTATTTTAGCCATTCGAGAACCTTCAGATAACTTCCTTTGATATCAGATCAGGCTCCAAGATCTCAGCACTATTTCCAGCATTCCTAAATCTCTCCAGCAATCACGGTGCAGTTAAGGGAGTAAGTTTCCGGTTTTCTAATTGCTTTTTTCCTTTAAATAGATTGATGTTCTACCTGGTGAAAGGGGGGGTCTATTGGTTTTCACGGAGGATCGTGCCGTCCAATTGATATCAAAGGAAGGTATGTCCAGCTCTACTCCGTTGTCCCACCTACTTAAATATACTCTGCAATATATATATCTACGTATATATACTTTCCATTTACCACCAGGTGAAGAAGTGTGGATAAGGGAAGAGTCGCTTGCCGATATCGTATCTGTGGAAATGATTGATCTCTCCGTCTCACCACAAGAAGCCACCATGCAGGAAGAGTTCGGCCAAAGTGATGGTGATTTTTGTTATCCTCAAACTCCCTTTGATTTCCCCATTGACTCGAGCTCAATATTTGCGTTTACCTTTCAGCCAGCGTGATCGAACTCTTCGTAAACCGAATTCGTTCGCAATTTCACCAATTGGTTGTAAGTTTAAGCGAATCAAAGTCCTAATCTTCCCTTAAGTCATTAGTTGATCCTATATTTTAAAATTTTAAATTTTTGACACAGCCTGCCTTAAAATCGTGGGGAACTGTTAAGACCTCCTCTTCATCTTTTGATAATGCCAACGATTTTACGCCACTAATTCGAGATGACTACAATTTGCACAAAATGCTTGTGATTGTTACTTCAGTTGGAAAAGTGAGTTCCTCAGCTTTTACGGATTTAAAAATTATTAACGATTTTGTGTTTAAAAGATTACGGTTTGTTTTTTTCCCCTCATGCTTCATTTTTTTCACACCTGATTTACTTAATTCATGTTCTCTGATACTGTTCCTTAGTAATCTCGAATTTCTGTAAGAATTGTCTGGTTCGATTGGAGAAACTGAACACAAGCAAGTGCATACGAAATGTGCATGTAATCAGATTGGAGTTTTGGAGATAATCATATTAAAAAAATTGTCAATTCTAGGGACGCCCATTAGAATAACGCACCTATTGGTGCATTCAACTCTACGATGGAGGTATATTCTTTACATCGACGCAATTTCCGCCTCGTAATTTCCTTGCTTATGCTTAAGGTACTCTTGGGAACAAACTAATCATTAGTAATGGATGTGGATTGTCACTTTTGTTATAGCAAATGGAAAACTGAAAATGAGCATTTCTGTCTTCTGTTTCTTCCTTTTAACTAAATTTCACGTACTTCATTTACTGTTTACAACCTAGTGCTCGTGAATTCTAAGTGTTAGCTTCGGATATTTGTAATTGAACTCACCTTAATTATCCAACCCTTATACAGCGTCCTGTCGTTTTCTTATCAATTGTTGTAATATTTCATCCAATTTCTGTTTAATGTAAGGGCTTGTTTTACGTAGATCAAAGTAAGGAAGGCAGAAGTCCAGTCACTAGGAGCCAGGTCAATTTTTTCAATTAATTGATCTCAACCCACCTTCGGGCCACTGCCAAAATGTCAGGAGCAGTGTGTGCCCTCGTTTTTATAAGACTGCTAGACTACTGAGAGGTGAAATGCTCATCCCAAGACAAAGCTTAGACGATGTGGCATGAATCCACATTTATTGACATTGTTTTGTCGCATTATTTTTAATGGATTGTTAACAATGAGTTAAAATTAAAACCATATTTCATTTTTTCCATTCTTGTTCTAGATATTTGGAATTGAAAGCTTTCGAGGACGAGTAATGTGGGAGTACTATATTCCAGGCACCCGAATTCCTGTTAATTCCTCCTCCCAACATCTCTTTGCTCAGCGTTCAACTGGTCACTTTCCTCTCACTCCAGTTATCTCGGTACTTCTAGAGGATTCCTCCTCCCATTCAATTCTCCTCTATCTCGATCCTATTCTCGGTGTTCCGCTGAATGCCATGACCCTCAAACCAGCAGTTGATGAAAAGGAAGCAGTTGTCAAACTTGGATCCAGAGTAAAAATAGCTGCTTTGGTACCAAGTTCTCCTGTTGCTGAATTAGCTTTTGGAACTGGAGATGGTGAAGCAGCCAATCACGTTCAAGCCCTTTGTGTTATGATGGAAGACCTAAAGGTAAGTAGAAATTGCCTACTGAAATGATATATAAGTAGCAATAAGTCTACTAAATTAAATTTGCAATCCTTATTCCACCAAGTAACTATTGAGCTAGCTTCTTTCACTTGATCTCACGACTATGATGAATACATACACTGCAGTTGCTCCATAAATATATCTTGTCAAGATTTAAATTATATTATTGGTCGGAAATTGATGCTCTTCTATATTGATATGATCTTGCAGTCTTCTCGTCCATGCTCAAGTAATGTAGCTATGTCGGGGGGGGGGGGGGGGGGGAGGTTGATTTTATCGGTTGCTCGATGTCTTGAAGCTAGCGTCTTAGACTAAAAGGTGCCTAGTTTGAATGGAAGATAACAGGAGGCACAATTGAGCTAGCTTTAATGGAGTTGACTTTGAGGAGGTAAAGACGGCTGTGTTTCGAACCGATTTCTTGACTGGCAGTGTCATGCCAAACGGACTCGGCCAATGACGGCATGGCGTGTCCAATATTGACAGTAGTTCAGGCTAATTTGGAGTCGTAGATAAGTGATGAAAGTTTTTGGGAAAACTTAATTTTACTTGCAGTGTATGACCACGTGCGTTGAAAGTTTAAATTAAATTAACGTAATCAAATGGCTACGCTCAATCATAATATCAAAATATCCAAAATTCGTTATTACTGCAAAGTTGATAGTCTTCCGAGGATTAACCCGTTGTTTCTTTGTTTTCAGGTACAATTCATGCCACCAGCTCTCGCAAACGTGAAACCCCAAGACCTACTTCCTGAAAATGGTCTTTTCCTCTATACACTCACTTCTCGACCCGCTGGCGTCACTGGCTACAAAGTGGTTGCTTCCGGCAGTGGCATCACCACGAAACAGATCTGGCACATGCACCTCTCCTCAGATGACTGCCCCCAACGTATTCTACGTGCCGCTGCTCATCCTTCAAATGGTAAGCATTTCACTACTTGGAAATTGTTGTAAGTAGTAGTGTGCCTATCACGATTCTAATTTGCTATCTTTTAAACAGAACATGTGCACTCAATCGGTCGAATTCTTGGCGATAGAAATGTGATGTACAAGTACATTAACCCAAATCTGCTGGCTGTCATGACGGAGGGCGTCAGTGCAGTGAAGGGTCTTCCAACCATCTCTCTTTACTTAATCGACACAGTGGTTGGACAGATTATTCACTCGGTTGTCCATCGTAAAGCTGCCGAACCGACTAGTCTGGTGGTCTCTGAAAACTGGGTTCTTGTAAGTGCCAGCCCTTTTGTAGAAAATATTCCATATCGATTTCAAGTATGGCCATTTAGGACATTTGAAACTTGAACAATAGGCACTCAAAGCTATAGATTTAGTCGTTGAATCTTGGTCCGCGTTTATTCCCAGGAGGATTATACGAGCAAATTGCGCATGATAAGACTCTGTGGAAGTAGAGTATATAAGGAAACTTGCATTTAAGACGATAATGATGTTTTTTTATTTGTTTTGTCTGCAGTATTCTGTCTACAACCAGCGTTCCCTCCGAACCGAATTTACCGTTATGGAACTATTTGAACCCAAACAAACCACCGATAACCTTGTTCCTAGCCCATGGGAAATAATGATCAGCAGTCTTCTGCCTTCCACCGGTTCGGCTTTCTTCGACAAGAGTGACAAGCACAATCACTTCTCTTCCTTCAGCAGAGCAGCTCATTCAGCTCATGGCGGTAAAAATGAGGGCGTCCTTATTCCTGACCTCCTACAGCGTGTCTTCATTCTAGCCAGTCCTTTGCGTTCAGGTGCTCTAGCTGTATCTCTTACTGAACGCGGTATAACTGCCAAGAGCCTACTCTGTGAGTGTACACTTTTTTTGCATTTCAATGTAATGTGTTAGGATTGATCTAACCGTGCTTATCTTTTTACAGTTGGTTTGGAGGCTGGTAATATTCTTGAACTGCCAAAATCCCTACTTGATCCTAGACGCACTCTTGACCATACTCCTCAACTCCAAGAGGAAGGATTAGAAGCATATGCTCCGGAATTGCCGATGAGCACGCTTGCCATCATTTCGTACAATCAAACCCTGGAGAGAATTAAGCGTATTCACACTGCGCCTTCTGGCTTGGAATCTACTAGTCTCGTTTTTGCTCATGGCCTTGGTACGCTTCAGTGGCTATTTTTAAAACTTAATCTACTTATATGATTTAAGTAACATGATTTACTTCTTCATGCAGATCTTTTCTTTACCCGAATTGCCCCTTCAAAGACGTATGATATGCTGCGCGACGATTTTGACTACTTGTTCATCGCGACCATTGTGATCGGAATGGCAGTAGCTTCCATTGTTGCTAGGAGTTTTGCGGCGAGAAAGGAGCTGGCGAAGGCTTGGCGTTAAATTTTTTGCCACTTGCTAATCTTTTCCGCTGTTCTTTGCTCTTTCCTTTTTTGTGTATTTATTTCATTCCTACTTCTCGCTCACCGTCTCTTTCTACTCATTTCCTGCGTTGTTGGTAATGTACCAATCTAGTCTAAATTCGACGCATAAAATTACTGTAAATGACGTTATATTTTAGTGCCTTTACTTGGTAAATTTGTATCATACTTAATGGGCATTTGAATGGGTCTGTTTAGGGAGTTGCTTTTGCTATCCACTCTTTCACTGCTATGAATGAATTTGCTAATGAGATTTGGTTGTGTAACGTGTGGTATCGCTTACATGTGAACTCAAATCTCAACTTCCGCATTTATAATATTTTAAGGCTATTCCATTGCCCTTTAAATCGTTACCCTTCACTAGAAGGTCATACTACTCGTTAAAACTGCACATACTAATTTGGCAGTACTTGAAATGGATGGTTTGAACTTGTGTAATCGACGCACAACAAAATGTAACCGAATGGCAGGCTTTATGATGGTTATCATTAACCCTTTAGCTGACTTCGGTCTTCACAGGGGGGAGGGGAGATCAAAGTGAGAAAAATTCGAGAGGGGAAACAGAAAAGTGATTCAAGGATGTAAAAGAGGCAGACAGACACAAAGGTAGAGAAAAAGGTAAGATGAGTACTGTTGAAGGGATCGAATATGACGTACAGTGGGGTCATGGTAGTTTGAAGTTAGAAGTCAACTGCCAGTTAATAGACTTTTTTGCCTTACGAGTATACATTGCCCAGGGTGCTCCACGAGGAGGTAAGTCTATCGCACATTCCTAGCCGAGTGTAACAAAATCTGCTTGTGATCTTTCATTGAACTT